CCTTGGCTCATGGCTGCATTGCTCCAATCTCTGCCTCTATGGTTACATTGCCTTCTTTCCATCAATAGTCTAATCTCCCTCTGTCTCCCTTTTATAAGTCTTGGATTTCATTTATGACCCATCTAGATCACCCTGAATAATGTCAAGATTTTTAATTTAATCCCATCTTCAAAGTCCCTTTTGCTATATCAGGTAACATTACAAGGTTCCAGGGATTAAGATCTGGATGTCTTTAGGGATCTTTACCCACTTTGTTGAAGGAGGCTCTTCCCAACTGCATGACCTCTGGAGTTGCCTCAGTCTAACCCAACCCCCTTCCTCTCTGGGAGAATTGCCACCATTGGAAACCTGGCAGCCACTGTTCTGAAAGACTTGCTGTTATTTGAGGCAGAAACAAAGAAAAAAAGACCTGAGAATCACTGTCTAAATTACAAGTAACATTGTCATCACTGACTCGTTGATTAGAGGTCTATGAGATTTTAAACTCTGGATGATGAATGATTCAGTCATGTTATAAAATATGACTTAGTATTTCATATTTTGGCATTTTATAAAATATGAAGTGACTGGATGAAGAATATGTGACAGATATTGAGACTTCTGTTCAGGGAGTTTTCTTTCCATGTTCTCTGTATCGGTAAGAGCTCCTGAGCATATGACGCTCACAGAGGTGGACAGCTGACACACCATAAATGTGCTTAAGAAGAGACATTTTAAGTTCTTTAGTCATGTTTCAGTTGAAAGATTAGATTTAAATATTTGCCACTAGTTCTTAAAACCCGTTCAAGCAAAAAGACATTTGCCCAACACCATGTTGAAAAAGATGAATTTCATTTTCTACTAAAAAGTTCATTGCTAGGAATGACAGTCAAAGTCAAATTGATCCCCAATAATTTAACACTACTAAGAATTACTTAAATGGTCACATCCTAATTTCAGCATTGCACAAATATATAATCTAAAAGGAACAAAATAAGATAAACACCCTGCAATTGTACTATAATACCCTCTGAAAACTCAAGATCCTTTTCCACAAGGTTATCATCACACTACCTCCTTTTTACATCACGTCTTCATTTTTCTCTAGTTCACTTAATTTCAGCTTAAGATTCCAGCTATCTATACTTTGTTAGAAGTCCTTTGTTCCGGCCATATTTAAGGTGCAATATCTGTCACTGCCTTTCCATTTCCATTGTTAATGGAACTCAGTTGGATACAGTCTTAAATAATTTTTGTCAGGACTAGACTTTAGCACTACTCTGAAGCCAGCAAAGTTTCTTTCAGGTAATTAGATTGGTCGAATCTCTCCAGTAGCTTCTCATCATCCCTGGGAAGAGATCAGACTTTCTATTACAAGACATAGTAGGTCCTCCCCAATGGGTTCATGCCAAAACCCAAACCATCATTCACCTAGCACAGTAGGTCTCAGCCTAGCACTTCTAAAAGCAATCAGAATAACTGATGATTCCACATGTACTTCATCCGAAATGTCCTTCAAGAACTGCCAACATCTTATTCATGACTCAGAACTGAATTGGGGGTCATCAGGTCAACCAGGTTTCTCTGAAATGCTCCCTGTAGTCTTGGCAAACCCTTCCTCCTTTACGTTTCTACGGTTCTTTACACACATCGTTATTGGGACTTCAATTACCTTCTATTTACACTTATTTGCATACATTTTTATGTTTCCATATTAAAATGTGAATTTCCATATCACAGTATAAGTATTTTTGTATCCCCAGTTCCTAGCACAGTACTGACATCTACTACATAATCAATATTAACCAAGGGCTAAATTCAGAAGTTCACTTCTCCTTTCTTCCTGCTTTAAAATCTACTTTAGGAAACATTTGCTATCATTCACTTATACCTAGGTATAAATATAAGTTCATACTTATATGAACTTATAAGGGCTAATTGCTTTTTAATCTATATTTCTAAGGGTAAAATAAAGGTGGTCTCTTCTATTAAATAAGGTCAGGAAATTAATAAACATCCAGGATGTTTCGGAGGATAGGAAGCCTTTCTGACATCCTGATACTCCACCATTAAAGGGCCCCCTTTATGCCTTGTAGAAAGTAACTCCATGATTTGAGACCTGCAGAGTCCAAGGCTTTAGAGTCCCATGTGCCTAGTCTCTGATCTAGTCACCTGATGATTGGTTCCTCTCCTTAATATCCAAAATGATGGTCAAAACCCATATTTGAGCATCTTTCATTTTGCTTATGTCTTTTTTTAAAAATTGACAAATGGGATCTAATTAAACTAAAGAGCTTCTGCACAGGAAAAGAAACTACCATCAGAGTGAACAGGCAACCTACAGAATGGGAGAACATTTTTGCAATCTACTCATCTGACAAAGGGCTAATTTCCAGAACCTACAAAGAACTCAAACAAATTTACAAGAAAAATACAAACAACCCCATCAAAAAGTGGGCAAAGGATATGAACAGACACTTCTCAAAAGAAGACATTTATGCAGCCAACAGACACATGAAAAAATGCTCATCATCACTCACCATCAGAGGAATGCAAATCAAAACCACAATGAGATACCATCTCATACCCGTTAGAATGGCAATCATTAAAAAGGCAGGAAACAACAGGTGCTGGCGAGGATGTGAAGAAATAGAAACACTTTTACACTGTTGGTGGGACTGTAAACTAGTTAAACCATTGTGGAAAACAGTGTGGCGATTCCTCAAGGATCTAGAACTAGATGTACCATTTGACCCAGCCATCCCATTACTGGGTATATACCCAAAGGATTATAAATTATGCTGCTATAAAGACACATGCACACGTATGTTTATTGCAGCACTATTCACAATAGCAAAGACTTGGAATCAACCCAAATGTCTATCAATGACAGAGTGGATTAAGAAAATGTGGCACATATACACCATGAAATACTATGCAGCCATAAAAATGGATGAGCTCATGTCCTTTGTAGGGACATGGATGCAGCTGGTAACCATCATTCTCAGCAAACCATCGCAAGAACTGAAAACCAAATACCGCATGCTCTCACTCATAGCTGGGAATTGAAAAATGAGATCACTTGGACACAGGAAGGGAAACATCACACATTGGGGCCTACTGTGGGGAGGGGGGAGGGGGAAGGATAGCATTAGGAGTTATACCTAATGTAAATGACAAGTTACTAGGTGCAGCACACCAACATGGCACATGTATACATATGTAACAAACCTGCACATTGTGCACATGTACCCTAGAACATAAAGTATAATAAAAAAAATTAAAAAATTAAAAAATAATCATACACTTTGACACTTCTGAGCCCTCTGGTCAATACTAAATGAAACTGCAAAGTGATAAAAAAAAAAAGGGGGGTGGGAATGCACCACTGCAAACTTTAAATTAAAAAACCAAGGAAGACAAATTACATTAGGGCATCTTTTTGCTTTTTAATGTGATACTCAAGAATGCTAGTCACCCTAAAATAGCCATAACTAGATAATCAAGATCACAACAGGAAACTGAGCATAAACTGCTATGGCAGGAAACTGATTAGTTCAGCAAAGAGACAGGATGCTTCTTGTCTCTACTGTTATCTGAGTTAATTGTATGCCTCCTCCATGGGCCAACTGCTCTGAGATAAAGAATTGTAAAGTTGCCTCATGAAAGCAAACTGAAGTACAACTAATAATAAATGCAGGGCTAAAACAAAGCCCATCTGAAATTGCAAGGATGATGAAATCAGTCAGCAAACACGAGAGCAGGGAGGAAAAGGCAGTCTTGCAGTATTATGTAAAACATTACCATGAGCTACAGAATATTAAGTTCTACATAATGTGCTTATAATAAAAGGAATATTCTCAAAATAAGTAGTAGGCATGATTTGGAAGAGGGCTTCCTTAAGATAATTTTTTTCTATGAAACCTGAACAATCTAAATTGGCTTGCTTGAAATGTGTAGAATGATGCCCCCCCACCAACATGTCCATAACTTAATTACCTGGTACTGTGAATATGTTATCTTGATGGCAAAAGGGATTTTGCAGAAGTGATTAAGGTTCAGGATCTTGAGATGAGACATGATCCTGGATTATCTAGGTGCGTCCAACCTAATCCCATGGTTCCTTAAAACTGGAGGACCTTTCTCAGCTGGGTTCAGAGTTACAGGGAGATGTGACCACAGAAAAATGGTCGAAAAGATGCAACACATCTGGCTTTGCAGATGGGGAAAGGGGGGTATGAGGCAAAGAATGTGAGTAGCCTATAGAAGCTGGAAAAGGCAAAGGAATGGCTTCTTCCCTAGAGCATTCAGAAAGAAACACATCCCTGCCAACACCTTTTAGTCCAGGTAAACCCAGTGAGACTCATGTGAAAGCTGTGATTAGACAGCTGTTAGATAATAAATTTGTGTTGCTTTTAATCAACACACGTGTGGCAATTTGTTACAGCAGCAATAGATAACTGATATACACCCATATTCTTTCACAGGCTTTATACAAACACACAAAAATGACACAAACTGAAACTCCTCGTCATTACTCCAAAAGTAGCAGTTTAGCTGACAATTGTGCATGACTAATTTCTGAACAAGTATTTTTCAATAGCAAACAGAGAAGGTCCTGAAATGGCAGATCATTCAAAGAGGAAATGAATAATTTAATAAGCACTTAAAAAAACTGACAAATTATCAGCTCCTCTCAATGAACCCAAAATAAAACATCAATTTACTTGAATTTCTCTTGTACTTGAAGGAAAATATCCTTTATCCCAACTACCTCCCCTATTTTTCTCCCCCGCCTTCCCACAAACCTGATTTTAAAGTGCTTTTTAGATGAATTTTTTTAAATAAATATTTACTGACCTGCATGTTTTCTAGAATTTATTATAGTAGTGAAGACAAAATTCATTTTGCAAACTGAAACTTTGCTGTTATTGAGTAACATGGCATTTATTCACATTTCAGATCTAACTTTACATCTTTCTAATTTTTTTTAAGTAGAGTTGCAAATCCTTCTTACTCACCACTTTGCAGCAAAGGGGCCAAAACCACCACATCAAACCGATCCCCAGGAGTAGCAGTAACACCAAAATAACAATGATGGCTGCGATCCCATTAGACTAAAGTAGGCAAAGAGCAAAAACAAAGCAGTCAGTACAGCTTATGGTCAAATTCCAAATGTATATATATTTTAAGGGAACACCAGAAAATAATGCAGAAAGTATAATGTCAAACTAGATTTTAACTGTTATTTTAATTTCTTGAAATTCTACAAATTTATCTTCTATTTAATATATATTATGTTTTATGTTATGTTGTTGTGACAGGCAATAATAAACTTTCTCAAAATGCTGCAGACTCTTTACAAATATATCTGAAAGGAACGTAGGAAAAAATCACTAATCAGGATTAGACTGGTCCCTATCTTTCATGTAAGGATTATTTTGGTTCAAAGCATAATTATCCATAGGCAGAATTTAAGCAGAATCCTCCAGACTTTTTGATGGTGAAACACAATCAATTGCGTGTAGTTAAATAATAAGATGAATATTTAAAAAATTATCAAGTAGATGACAAACCAACAATGGTTCTTGTTAGGAAATGGTATATATACATCAATGCAAGAATGTAATCTCCTGCATTCATATATCAGATGTTCTCTCACTGCAGCTGAAATATGACCTACACAAAAACCACAGTGGTTCTTTCCCTTCCTAACTACTAAGCTCCTCCAGCCTTAAGGCACCTACTCTGGGATCTATTATTAAACCCTTTCATATAAAAACAACCTACACATTTTACAGGATTCATATTAAGTCACTTCATGGAAGTCTTCCTTGGACCCTTTGACTATAAATGCCCCTTTGAATAAACAACTCACATTTCTCTATACTTTAATCTTTAGTGCTTATTACAGTGCAATGCAATGAATTAATTATGAATTTTATGATTATTTGTTTAATTTATATTTTCTACCATGATTTATTTTAAGCTCTAGGAAGTCAGGGGCTACATCTAGCCCACTTAGCACTGTATACTCCATGTCTGGCATTTAAAAACTACTTACTGAGGCCAGGGAGGATGGCTCACGCCTGTAATGCCAGCACTTTGGGAGGCCAAGGAAGGCAGGTCGTGAGGTCAGGACTTCAAGAACAGCCTGGTCAACATGGTGAAACCCCATCTCTACTAAAAATATAAAAATTAGCTGGGCGTGATGGCGGGCACCTGTAATCCCAGCTACTAAGGAGACTGAGGCAGGAGAATCGCTTGAACCTGAGAGGTGGAGGTTGCCGTGAGCCGAGACTGCACCACTGCACTCCAGCCTGAGAGACAGAGTGAAAGAAAGAAAAGAAAAGAAAAGAAAACTACTCACTGAGAGAATGAACTCTAAAGAAAAAAGACAGCAAAAGACATGGATACAAAGAAGAATGTTTACTGAACTTTTACTGTAGAGATAGTTTCCAAGGGAATAAGAGATATCTCCCAAATGCCTAATCTCTAGGATCCTCAGTAATAATGTTTTGGTTTTTTTTTTTTTTTTTTTTTTTTTTTTTTTTTTGTGTGTGTGTGTGTGTGTGTGTGTGTGTTTTAAGAGAAAAAATTCAGGGAAGAAAAGAAAAAGAGCAAAAGAGAAAGATTAATACTAATACTTTATAGAAATTTTCAGGCAAATACCTAAGTAGCCTGTTCTTAGAAAGAACATTCCAAAGTGCATCTTTCTTTACAAAATTCTAAATATTCATGAATAAGTCATGCTACCATCCACAGGCATAAACACATTAAGCTCTAAAATCTAGGCAAACAAGAATATAACGGAAAAAGGATGTCACAGAAACGCATGGAAAACTGTGGTACCCTATGGGAGAAATATTGTCAAATGTATAAATCTTGATCTCACCTTCAAAAATATGGTCTTATGTAAGACAGCCTCTAACTTGACTGTCCATGTACAGAAGGAATACATTTCTCACCAGGCCTTTCCCACATGAGGATCCAGTCACAGCACTCATAGAAATGGCACACCATTTGGCTGTGCTATGCAACTTTCAAAAGGGCTCTATGAACATTTGGTTTCCCCTTTTCTTAGAATTCACACTCGTGTTCAGAAATAAGGACATGCAACTAGAGGCCATGAAGCTGCTAAAAATTTAGTGGTTAGTTTGTTTCTTCTATGCATGTGCCAAGAACAGGAAAATCAGAAAATTGCACTGACAGAACATAAAGTAGATGGGCTAGCCCTGATAGATACTTAAAATTTTTGATTTTTCCCTTAAAAAAATGCCTTCATTAGTAGCATCGACAAAATATTATGCACCTCCAGATACAAATATACATTTATTATTACAATATTATCATATCAACTGATTCCAAAGATTTGTCTTTAAAAAATTTAAAATGGCCAGGCGCGGTGGCTCACTCCTGTAATCCCAGGGCTTTGGAAGGCTGAGGTGGGCGGATCACAAGGTCAGGAGATCGAGACCATCCTGGCTAACACGATGAAACCCCGTATCTACTAAAAATACAAAAAATTAGCCAGGCATGTTGGTAGGTGCCTGTAGTTCCAGCTAGCAAGCTAAGAACATTTCTACCTTGTTCAAGAAAAGTGACATTTGAGTAGTAAATATTTATTAGAACTTTTTGAGTTCTAAAGAGAGGCATGCCTATGTAAAACTGAGAAGCTTCCAGGTTCGCTCATGATACAGATCTATGTGTAGTCAAATCTAGTTTCATACTCTTCTTCATCTGACTCTTAAGTCCATAGTTTGCAACACGGTATCTGATTACAAGACTGAATTCTGTGTGTTCCACCTTTCCCCAATATGTTTATAAAGTTTTGTGCAAAATGAAACTGTTTTTCTTTCATGACTAACATCTTTCTTGCTCTGATAGTGGCTCTGGCTATCAAAACAAACACAATGGGAAAGCCAGAATTTGTACCCAGTTAACTGAGCTGATGTCTGGGATGGGTGTATTCAGGGCCCGTGTCATCTGCATCTAATTTCCTTTTCTTCACTAAAAGCCAGTTATAGAATAAAAAACTTTATTCTGCCAAATATAACTAAAATTCTAGCGAAGAGAATCATAGAGGTATAAAAACAAATCAGGGTGACTCCTGCCCTTGCAACATAACTATGGGAAAGAGGAATCACTGGAAAGTTTCAAAAGAGCATTAGTTGTTATTGCTGCAATCTATCTAGAAAATAGTGAATTCCCAGCAGCCACATTACAATGAAACAGACACAGAACAGGGAAAATGCGCCTTCACAATTTTGTTTCATGAATTTAGAGTTAGGGAAAGAAAACAGAGTCATGAAACAGATGATTACTTCATTTACTGGATTCTTTTTGGAATATTTGTTATCAGGATTTAGGAAACTATGGCACAAGGGTCAAATCCAGCCAATCTATTTGGTAAGACCCCAGCAAGCTAATAACTTTTTTTTTTTTTACAATATTACATCAAGCTGAAAAAAATCAAAAGAATATGTTACAAGAAATTCCAATGTCAGTGTACATAGTTTTATTGAACACAGCCGTTTACATAATGTCTATAGCTGCTTTTGCACTACAATGGTAGAGTTAAGTAGTTGTGACAGAGACCATATGGCCCCCAAAGCCTTAAGTATGTGTTTACTATCTGGCCTTCTACAGGAAAAATTTGCCAACCTTTGTCCTATATAAATCAATGTAGAATCTGGTTTAAAATGGCAGACTGTGGAAGTGTTCAGTCAGGGGGTAGGGGAGACAGATGTGGGTTCAATTCTCAATTCTAGCATTTATCAGACTTAAAACTGGGCAAGTAACAACCTTTCAGAGCCTCCAGGCTTCAAGTATCCCTTTTGCAGGGACAGTAAGGATTGAAATCACCTGATGTTACACTCATCAAACCATGTACCTCTTTGAGGGCTGGGTCCACATAAGAAGAAGTATCTTCTAATGTATTTGGATAAATGTGCACTGAATATTGGAGGTATCTTCCTGTTCCCCAGTTTTCTCATCTGTAAAATTAACATAATCTGAACAGCCTCCTCTTGGATTGTGAGTGTTAAATGAAGCCATAAAGGATTTAGCACATATACAGCAGTGCTGAGCACAGCGTCTGGCACTTAATACATGCTCAGCAAACAGGTTCTTGGTATCGTTATTGCAAAAGAGTCAGAAGATCAGTGATTTCAAGAGAAAAAAAAGGACATCTTTCCTTTTTTTTTTTTTCAGACGGAGTCTCGCTCTTCGCCCAGGCTGGAGTGCAGTGGCGCGATCTTGGCTCACTGCAAGTTCCGCCATTCTCCTGCCTCAGCCTCCGGAGTAGCCGGGACTACAGGCGCCCGCCACCTCACCCGGCTAGTTTTTGTTTGTTTGTTTGTTTGTTTTTTAGTAGAGACGGAGTTTCACCGTGTTAGCCAGGATGGTCTCGATCTCCTGACCTCGTGATCCGCCCGTCTCGGCCTCCCAAAGTGCTGGGATTACAGGCTTGAGCCACCGCGCCTGGCCCCCATTATGTTTTTAAAAGCAGAGATCCATTTTAAAGATCTTTCGAGGAGAGATGAAGATAAAGGATTGTCTAAATACAAACCCCCCTCAGACTCTAATCTTAAATCTCTTACATCTAAAACTTAGTTTCCCCATTTTAAACTAGATATATGGTTACTTTCAATCATTCATTTACAGAATAATTTTGGAGCACTTGCTCTGTCTAAGGACCAGTCATGGGAGACGGGCAATGAGCACAGCACAAGCCCTGCCATCAACATCTTAAGGCTGGTAAGAAAGGCCCAGAAGCAAACAGGAACTCACAGCTCAGTTCCTAAGGGCCTTAACAGGACTGAGCCCTGGATATTCCTGAAGCAGACAGAAGAGCTTCTTTATTTGTGGGATTTTAACAAGGACTAATCAATGACTAGAATAATAGTGTTTTACTTTGTTTGGCTTTCAAATGCCTGAGCAAGTAAAAAGCATTATCCTCACAATGAGCAATATCACTAATAGCATTTCACCTGTTCATGATATGCAAATACGACCGAAAGACTAAATATCATTTAAATCCAAGGTCCAGGTATTTATCATAATATTACCCATTATACTCTTCTATTTTCAATAGATATTCCATGCACAAATGAGC